CGAGAAAACAGACGCGTCGGTGCGTGACGCTACCATATTGCATCGTGCCTACGTCTACCTTTTACATCGCTCTTCCCTGATCTCTTTTCTGCCTCGTATATACCTAAGCAGCTAGGTTTGGTGCTGCTTCTAGCATCTCCGACACTGCCGGACATGGAAGAAAAACGAGTCGCTTCGAGCGCGGCTCGCTGCTTCACCCGAAAGATTCTTGTAGGACGAAGGAGTAAGTGTCGCAACGTCCCGCGTCGGTGTACAGCAGCTGCTGAGCTGGTCAGCGTCCTGCTCCATCTTGCAATGTACTCTGCCCTCGTAAGACATAAGCGAACACGGCGCTCCTTTTGTTGCTAGCTCACCGCCTGGCTGAGTCTCTCTTTCGGTATGTCCAAACTGCGCTCCACTGGTTCGCGATCCTATCGTGTGGGAGGCGTCGTCCGTGTTCGTGTTTAGCCCGTCAAGAGATACAGAAGTGACAGGAGTTGCGCTGGTCAGCCAGCCAGAGCAAAGCTTACCGAAGCCCTATCAAGCCCGGCGACAAGCCATAGAAGGCGAGCAGTTCGGCAGGACAAAGACTTGGACTCTGTATTCTCCGGCCCCGTTTCTAACGCTACGGGGGTGTCCATAAAGCTTTCAGTGTCTGCGGCTTATTCCAATCCCGCTGCTTTACTTAGGTTGGGTTGGTTGACTGTTTTTCGTAGAATGTGTAAACGACAGGTATAGCTGGCAGTGGTTCCAGGCACGTTGTAAGCGGAAGACGATATTAGTGACCGGATAACTGGACGCTGGCAGGCAAACGCAACATTAGGCAACGAAGAGCTTCATGAATGGCCGCTTGTCTACTTTCTTTCTTGGCTTTCTGCCTGCCTGCTGCTGCTACTGCTGCTGTATGCCTTGGTCAGGTCAGGGATATGAACCTACTCGCGTGAAGGTGGATCCGTGGTCTTTCGCCTTGCCGTCTTAACTCGTCCAGTCAGTGCTCCTGAAGTTCCCGTAAAGTGCCGGATGTTTTGTCTTTTTCGTCCGCAAGCACCGTCCTTAACAGCATTAACACTGGCAGTTAACGTTACCATTACGTTGATGTTTTTAAGGGTATCCTCCGTTTACGCTCTGCATGTCAACCACTTTCCTCAACAGGCTATGTACCGGTGCCGTCTTCTGTCCGCTTATGCTTCCTACCACTACTATTCGTAATTGTCCTTCTGCGTTTGCCACGTTTTTTGTCCTCTGCCTGTCCCATTTCGGCCTACCCGTTGTTTTACGTTCACCCCCGAAAGGCCAAGGGATCAAGCGGAGGATTAAGGCCATACATGGCTGTGAGGCACAGTTCGCAAGGTGCAGCCGAACAGGGTATGGCAAAGCGAACTGCGAAGGATAAATAGCCAACGGGAAAGTGGAAGATAATGAAGGAATGCAAAAAAAGTAGACAATAAATAGACCGAGGAGGGCCGTAGAGCGCACTTTATTCCCCTGCAATATTTCAATGGCTGCCGACTATTATTGGTGCTGATGCTACTACCAGCCTAGTAAACAGTCGGAATACTGCCATGTAATTGCATCCGTTGGAATGAGGAAGAGAGAGCCACGTTCAGATATCGTCTCTGTGTAAGTGTGTATAGAACTTTTAAAGGTTTATCAACATATATATATATATCTAATTCATGCAAAAACAAGGCTCATTTAAGAATTTCAGAGTCTTTCCGCAGCATCGTTAATAACAAGGACTACAAGTAACAAAGCGATATGATCTCGAAAAACTCCTCTGTAACGGTGAGAGCTCATTCGTTCGACTATATATATGACAGAACGCATTTTTCCTTATACTTGATGTACAAGAAGACCACACGGTGAATATACGGTGTACGGTAATTTATTTGCACGTGTAGTGATGAAATCAATATCCCAGTACTGGTTTGGGATTTTAGTGTAAAGAAAAAGGGTAGGGTATGTTCACCGTATGTCTTCTTACGCTCTAATTATTTTAGCATCACAGACATCTAGCCTAGCAGCATCTCAATTGATGATATTTCGATCGACGATTTCTTTCGAACCAGCTCTTACGTATTCATTGCTCAGATAGCTACAAAACGAGTCATTTCCGCTCGCTTCATCTCCTTCCTTTGCTGCCTCATCTCCGCAAAACTTCATCAAGAGAAACGGGAGTGTCGAACACACGAACTCGTCGCAGTAGTAGTTCCTTCGCAGGAAATGTTGATGACAATAATGCTACCTCCAATAACATTATCAACAACATCGTTAGCAATAAGAATAACTTGAACGTTATGCAGTTGACATTAATTGCTTATTTCGGCCGTTTTTAGTGAGTCGTCAATTGAAGATCAGGCAAATCGAGCGGGTAGAGGCAGCAGTTGAAGCAATATAAGCACCCCTAGCGCCAACACGGCAGTGATCGCTCGAAACAGAGCAAGCAGCCGAGGAATTACGGTTCTCTGGGGGTAGCCATAGAACTGTGCCTCCTCCGGTGGCTGTGTTTTCTTTTCCAGTATAGGATGGCCAGTCCTTTCACCCCGCTCTTCTTCCCCAATCTAGCCTTTGTTTTTCTTCCTGTTCGTTCTCTTGTAGCGTTCTTCCCGTTCCTCTTCCTTCTTTGTATCGTCCCTATTTCTGCTTTGGAAAAATCAATTGCCAATCAGTAGAATGAGTGCAGGTCGAGTTAAGCGGGCCAAGTGAGGTGACGTGGAAGAAACACATGAAAAGAAGCAGGCCAAAGCAACGGATAAGGAGAGAGAGTGAGCGGATGCCTTTGGGTTGCCCGTTGCCCGTCGGCGTTGAAAATGAAAGAAGCGAGAGAAAAAAAGTAGGAGAGAAACAGGAGCCAAAAAGGAAGAGAAGTTTTATCTCGACCCAACTGGAGTCCCCTTCTTCTATGTTCGTTGTCTGCGTTTTCTAGGAGAGCCGAGCCCGCTTGTGCCACCCCGTTCGCGTTCGTCCATTCGTCGTTTCTTGAGCAAACTTCTCAATCTCCCCCGTTTTCTATGTTTCTTATCCTTCATCCTGTCGTTTGGCCAAGTCTCCGCTTGTCCCTTTTTGCCCCACCCGAGCTCTATGCAGTTGTCTGCTGACCGTTGGTTGCCGCCGCTTTGGCTTTTTTAAGTGTGTTACATGACTGGACGGCGAACAAGGAAAGATGAGTTGAGCAAAAGGATGAACCCTGAAGAATGAATCATGAAAGAACCGAAGAACACTAAAGCTTTCCTCATGGCTAGCTAATTCGGTGGAAGAATTACTAGCTGGAGGCGGAGCCAACGAGGTTTAAAAGGACTCGAAGGGGCAAAAATCTTGTTGTGAACAGTCCACCAAAGCCCAAATGTAACGATTCGGCTCTTCCGCGGAGGTCGGTTAGTCGGTCCGGCCTTCCACGACGAAAATCACTGCAACCGCCCATATCGCTGCCAAGAATCATCGAGCCCGAATAACGCCGTCGATCTAAAAGTCGATAGCGCGCGAGTAGAAGCAGTAGAAATGATGACTGAGGTACGTGGTCACCGCCGCTATCGCTTTGAGGCCACTAAACGGAACAGCTGCCCCAGATTCAGCTTGGCAGCATGATACGGATTCCGCGAGTCACGGTTCGAGGTCTAAGGCCCACAGGCCAGTGAGGGACTATGAAATAATCTATCCATTACTTACAAAAGGCAGCGGGCCAATGGGTGCTAGTAGCAGCGATAGTCAAAGCGCTGGCAATCAAGGCCCTTGAGACAAGCTGTTCTGTTTAAGATTAAAAGAGAGCAAAACAACAACAAGGACAAAAGCATCAACAACAAAAACTAAGACCCAGTATAATAGTACCGCAAGCGGATGGACGAGAGAACGTAACAAAGAAAGCTGTTATTATGTTGCTCGATGCGTTGAAGCGGTAAAGATTTGGGCTGCAACGGGGCGCAAATGGAATCATGTCGAGTCAGTAAAGGCCGAGAAAGAAAAAACTGCGAGAAGCCTGCAGTTATTATTTAGACGGCGATTATTGGCGTTATCGCTAGGTCAATCAGGCCTTCACAGACACATACTTTCTCGCATGTACTCATGTGTGTACCAACTGAGACAGGCCTTTCCAATTGAAAAGGTAGAGGGTCGAAAGCATTGAAAATCTATGAGAGATTTAAGATATGTGACCAGTAATATTTTACTTGGGTCAGTATTGAGGATGGGCCAGATCTAGGATTTAAGCCAGATAGGAAACTCACACGGTATGCCCAGTTCGGTTAGGGTAAAATATTGTATTTAATGGCGCTCGCCATGTTTGATGATCGCTGTAGTAAATAATAATGTAGTGACTTAACTGTTAACCCTGAAAACAGTAAGCGATGCTAAGATCATTTGTATATTTACGTGAGAACAAAGAGCCCCGGGATGACCTGTGAAGGACGTTACTTCAAGGAAAGGACGCTAAATATGGGGTGTAGACACACGCAAGGATAGGATCTGTTATTGACAACGATACGTTAGAACGTTTCCTGTCGAACTTCAACCATAATGAAATCAGTAGAGCACTTCAAGAAATTGGGTGATAGCAATAGTAAGTTTAATAGTGATTAAGTCAATAAATCCCTAGCATTTAAGAGTCCAATTCGACTTCTGTCCCAAAGTTACTTTAATTAAATTCATTGATGATTAATGTCGATATTTGTTATACAACTTTTACGTGAAGGAATTTAGGTACAAAGAAATTGCTCTCGTAGACTCACAGGGTGCTCTTCATATAATATAGTTGGTGTGCTGTGTACTGCGATAATATAGCAGATGGCAGGACCGAAATGAAAATTGAAGAACCTACCGAAGAAAAACAATGCTCACTTGAATGTTTATGATAACCCTTAGTTGGTCATCTAATGACGTCGATCTTCAGGTAAACGTTTACGAGCTGATGTTTGTAGCTAGTGATATATTCATGAGGTGTTGAAACCAATCATTACGGTCAAGTAATACGAATACGTAAATTAAGCAAAAAACGTTATCATACGCATATTGAAAAAGGGTACACAAAATTATTTTTCAGTAATAAATACTCTAGCTGTTTATTTTATACGGTTTATATACTAAAGCTTTATAACCGGCTCGTTCAGATTTTTATGTACAATGTAAATACAGAATAGGTTCAGTTAGAGCAGACACATAGGAAAGATAAATCGTGAGGATATAAGTTTCTGTCATTGGTATATTTACATATTGAAGGTTATTGACGAAGGTTTACAAGTTGCGTATTAAGAGAACTACAGTTTCGTCTTCTCTGAAAGATTTTGGGTTGAGCTTCCTTTGCTGACCCTTCGACGACCTGCTTTGAAACTTGCTCCAGGTTGGCCGTCAGCTGAATCGACAGGCGGTTTGGTATCTAAAATGCTAGCGTTGATTCCATTCTTTACATTCTCTATGATGATCATGTCCAGGTTAGTCCCACATGATTCTTTTAACGACGTTTTCCGCCGACGGTCATGGTGTTGTTCGGTAGCTAAAGCCATCTCGGTCTTGCGGCCAGTCATCTAATTACGAATGAATAATTCAATTAATAGTTATGCCCAATAGCCACTAGGTCTAGTTCTTACAGTAAGGTCGTCTGATGAAAATAACAAACAGAACGTATTCTGAGTATCACAAGTATGTACGTTCAACGATTAGTAGATCTCTGGTTTAGTTTTATATATACCTCGGCTTCTTTGTGGGTCTGGGGCTGATTGATCATCTCGGCTACAAATCTGTTGAAGATAAAATTATCAAGATGTCCCACAGGTGATTCTACGGTGATGTTCATAAGAAATGCTAGGCCAAAACTTATCGAGAGGACACCCAGAGTTTGTTGAAGCTGTGGAATCAAACGGGAGCGAATACATGTTATCACTCATTGTTAGATAAAATATGAGTCCTGACTGCTAAAAAGTCCGGACAGCAGTTTCATCCTGATGGATCTTCTGATGCATCCGGTGTTATTTTGTGACGTACATTAAAAGGGCAAAGAAACTTGGTAAGCTTCTCGATGATTTTCTTAGACGCGAAAGCTGTATATTCAGCCAGCAGAAACAAGGATATCTTTTATAGGCTTCAAATCGTTTATAAACGATTGGACATTTTCGTACTTACGAGCAAATATTGATTCGGAAGGAAGGCTTGAGATTTCATAAGACCTTGCTGCATATAGACTACGGCAAAGTGTACCAAGTAGAGGCCAAATGCCAGTCGCCCCAAAGCACGGAACGCTGAGTGTTCAAGTATCCGGCGAAGGGTAGCTATCGCCAAAATGGATGAATAAGAGTTAGTCAGTTTGTATAATGCAGTATAAGAAGTAAGATATACGTCTATATACTAAATGATTACGTTCTCCGCTAACAGATACTGCCAACACACCAACAAGTCGAATTACATTATTCAGTCACCATGTCCAGTCAGAAAGATCAATCAGACTGAATGTAGGTGTTCATTCCAACCTTTCTGGACGACCAACAGCCTCGATAAAGACACTGCAAGGACTGATAGAGAGAGCGGTTGATTTGCGCATTTAATAAAAACAAGCTGTAAATATCGTTTGTTTGATGTGTGTTTTTTTTCGAAATTCGAGAGGCAGCGATAAAGTTCTATTGTATCAAATCTTTCCTTTACATATCCATAAGCAGTACTTACGAGCCATTCCATGTAGACAGGCATATATAAGCCAAAATAGTCCAAATGTAAAAATTATTCTATGGAAGCCGGCATACAATGATTGTTCGAGAGGTCCGGGTAGGCCATAGCGATACCAGTTAACCGTTATGAAGATGACATAGGAGGCGCATCCGTGAGCCAGCACCCAACACAGGGTTTGCGTGTACTGCAGAATATAGGACAAAATTAGGTAACAATTGTCGCCACGAAGACAGTGATGTTCGTGATCAGGCACGTCGTATCGTGTTAATAGGTCAATTATCGCTCGTGGTGACCAACTGAAAATAACTTACTAATTGTTGTCTACTATTGCTCTAGTTTAAAGTCGTCAAATCGTCTGGGGTGGTTGTAACTGTCGTTCGAAAGAGTCGTAAACTGTCTGATGCAGCCGAAGCAATCTTTTTTGTAGATTAACAATCTCTTTCACCCCCATACAGCCCGTAGCTAGTCTATACTCTCGATGCGTAATAGCTTATAGAGTTCAGAGATTTCCTTTATGTCAGGTTCCTCATGGCTCGTTCTTGCGCAATTAGACATGACACTAAAGCGATATCCAACGATGTTCGAAATGATGGCAGTAAGGAAATACGACTGAAATAGCATTACCCTAACCACCTAGGCGCACAAACATACCCATTGAAGGCGCTTTCCGTGCAAACATACGTAGGCGCACATGATTCCGAGGAAGTAGCAACCAGAATGCGTTATAGGCTGGACGTAAATGTAGTCGAAGGTATCTATTATAGTCCTTTAAAAAGAAGGCACGCAAAAGAAGATGCATTGCGCCTAATCGCAATATGAACCTGGCTCATTGATCGTTATGAAAAGTCAAACTTATAAATTATGATTCCTTTTTCATGCAGTTAGCAATATTGAATTTTGCCATGACCTGCAGTTGTTTCCATGCAAAAAAGAAACCAGTCTTTTATATAGGATAGAGTATGGGTCTCGCATTGGATGTAAACAACATACACATATATCATGTATGTACGAGATGCATATACGTAAGTAAGTTTATACAGTTTCATAAGTTTATATATTAGCCGTGCGTCGATTACTAAGTCACTTACGAGAAGTTTTTGCCGGTGAATCCGATAATGGGACTGTATTCGTAAACATAGGTATTAATCGCTATCCAGAGACAGCTGGCGAGTGTTAGCACTGCTGTAAATGTCAACCCCACACGGGGATTGGATAAGATTATTATGCAGACGATGGACGCTACCAGGAAGACTTGCATATCAACAGACACATACCAGCTATGGCCGAGGCACTGAAATTGAATACAAGTAAACAAGCTCCGTCGGGTTACGTATCATAGACTATGCATCAATTTGCCATATTATCGCCGTACGTTGACGATACAGATCTTATCAGCTGCAGTAAATGACTGTCTGGGCACTGATTTATGTAAACAAACGTTGAAAAGGTGTTCAATTAGAAAGAAAAAGCGCTATCGTGGACGAATGAGCAAATTGCCTACGTACTAAGCAAACCTAAACGGGCAGATTGTTCAGATTGGCCTGAGCGCCTAACGCTTTGAGCTATAAACAATGCGTTATCATTCAATCAATGGTACGAATATTAGTTTCACTCATAAACCTGAGAGAGCATGGACAGCTGTTTCTACGTGTGTATGATTTTCGTATACTTTATGTAATGTATTGTGCTTCTGCTAAAATACGTAACCATTGCCAATGTTGCACATAAAACATAGCCCGTTGAGAACCGTATGTTTTATTATTCCAAGAAAGGATTTCAAAGCTTCAAGAAGTTAGACATACCATTCCGTCGGCGCCCATGAAGTTACTGCTCAGTGCTAGAATCGACCACCAATTTTGTGGGCACCGCCGAGCGTACACCTCAAACAGCGACCGTTTGTCGTTTGGCGAATCCGCCCAAAGCGGCATCAACATTGAGAAACATACGACTACGAGTATCGGAATAACCAATCGGATGTAACGTCGGATGAAGATGGTTGTTATGAAAATAACTGGGTTCTGTTTGATGATTCGTTGCTTTTCCTTTATACAGAAGTACCCCAAGAGGAATCCACTGAACGGCGACATTTCGTGTGATGATATTAGTTTTTTTGAATAATGCTAAAGTCAATTAATATCATTTCTGAAACAGGTGTAGTTAAGTCGAAGATCTACATATTCCCAGCGAAACATTGAAGGCTGAAACAGGTCTGCAACGCGACATTTTTCAATGTATTTTATAAACCTTATTTAAGAATTTCGAGATATAACTATCTCAGATATTGTACAATTTATATAGGGCCTTAGTCTGAACAACGAATTGCTGAACAAGATTAAATTTCCGTAAGCAGCTTTAGTTTTTTCCAGTGATACTAACCTGATGAAGTAGAAGCTTGACACGGCCATGAAGCCATTCGCAACAATTTGAAAGGGTATCTTTTGAAGTAAGAGAACATAGCTCGATATATTCACTGAAAGAGTCAAAATAACATGTAAAATGCTTATATAATATTGCGGTAAATCAAGTTGTGCTGAAGAAACAAAAGTATGTCATTGCTCGAAGGCTCCCAGCAGAAACTAACAATATCTTGTTATTTGTTTCACAGAGATAAAGCATGTACGATTGAATCCGATTTCGATTTTAACGTTTATGCCTAAAAAACATACGATAAAAACGAAACATCACAGCTTTCCGATAATCAATGCAACGACTGATCATGTTAAATTTGTCTACAACGGTTCAGACCCGGAGATTGCTTTTCGAAGGTCAAGGTACGAAAAACATTGTGTTCTATATAAATAAACGTATTTTTTTAATCGTCTGCTTGATATTATCGTGTGTTTATGTGCTAGGCAAAATATCCTGTCTGTCGAGATGCGTTACCAATAGGCGAAATCCGTGCACACAGTATCGGTCTGGCGGGTCAGCCCCAGTGACGAAACTAAGTAAAAGCTTAGCAAATTAAACCATATTATTAACCAAAATGGATAAGGCTCCTACGCCTAAAAGGGCATAATTCATTTTGGCTAGATTGGCCTCGCATTTCCTTGCGGTTACTTAGTAAATGCTTCAGCTACGATCAGGTTAGAAAGCTTACCGTAGACATCTGGGCTGATGAAAATAGCGCAATGACCGTATACGACCCAACATGAGAGCAGCACCTTGATCCCATTAAAAAAGCCCAGCTCCCTTGCCTGGGACGTATGTGGCGAAAACAGGCGAATTATATTTCGGCGAGCGGAAAACATCAAAATGAACGTCACTGCAAACCAGGGGCTGATGTCTGCAAGCGGCCAAAAAACAACGTTCAATAACTTGGAACGAATCTCTTTTTATCAAATATCATAGTCATTTATTTTTCAACAGTAAACGCAACATTTGCTCTAGTTATTCGAAATAACTTCCTATTTTGCCCAGGCATCTCTGTCTTATCTGATGTATTCGAATAGGCGCACAACTCCTAGCCCGAGATCTTGGGTTCGATATCCAGTTGAAAGTCGGTAAATGTTTCGAGCTGCTTGAGTTACTATATCTAAGTTGAGTTTCTTATCTGTAATTATATTGTTTAGCAAAAAATCTATTTAGTCTCCCTATTCGTAGCATATTGTCTCTACCATGCCATGGGCATAACAGTGGATGCATCAACATCGAACACTTTGGCCCGTTTAGAAAATATAATAAGGCACCAATGGTGGGTCTCTATTGTGTAGTCAATATGTAATATGAATTTCACTCGCTATTTATCTACAGAAAAAAGAGAACAGGCTTCAGAGTGGCAAGGCCCCTGGGCGCAGTGCAAATGAGTTAAACTTGAAGAACAGAAGCAATTTCAGATACGACCACATGTGACAATCGATGATGCAACGTATAAAAGAAGCGCTCATATGAAAAGGTATCAACATTTGGTTCAGATAAGCTCACCGGTAAGTTCTACGCCGAACAGTTGATCTTAACATATAGAAGAGTCTTAATCCAAATCAAATATGTCTGGGACGGCTCTGACATAGCGTAGTCAGAGTATTCGATTGTTTCTATCATTACATTTCTCTGTAAGTACATGTATGGGTGCATATATTTAATGGTAATAAATGATGTCATGTTGGGAGAGTCCCATGACGCCCAACGTTAACAAGTTTCTCCGTCACCCTGTGCAACCCCGCTCAGGATCCTGATACTATTTTGTTTCAATCTGCTTACGTTAGAATATCCAGTGGACTAGTGCAGAAACAATTACACATATATATCTTGGCCGCTTCAATATATTGGCCAAACAGATAAAAACGACGGGAGCTCTTTCCAACATGACATATGTCGCTCATTAGGAAGTATGCCTTCGATGAAAGAGATTCGTTAGAGTTTTAATAAGTTTTCCTATAAACTGAACGAACGCGCTAAATCAAATATTTGTTTTTCACACAAAAATAACATACAAATCCTAGTTTGACCTGCGAGCGCGCATAACGAAACCGTTTGGTTAGTAAAAGCACCCTATTCGGCTGATTTGAGCCCTTTTCGCTATAAATATACGGATCTAACATTGAAAATAGGGCGGCGCTCGTTGGCGTCAAGCCAGAGATCAGTGTCCTCCCTGCTAATGTATGATAATGTTGATAAATAGGCTGGCCAAATGCACTGTATCATCCGGATCTAGAGTGAACAAATGATTACGACGTTTCTTTGATAAAGTACCAAAGCGAAAAATAGATCTAATTATGCTACCAAAAGAATCGCGTCTCATCACCTTTGTAAGGTTTCCGGGCTAAGAACACGCGTCGTCTTAATGAGTCCGGCTCTCTGTAAACTTTCCCTGGGATCATTGTAATATGATTAAGTTCGCTAACAGAGACCCTGGATGAACTCATCGCGGGACTGAAAAGTCGATGGGACCTTGATTTGTCTCAACCTTTTTTCTAGGAAATAACGTATCTTGGCGTTTAGTAGCTCGCGCCACCGACCACAGCCACTACAACTTATTCGCCTAATCTAGTCGGAAATTTGTAACCTTTGGTTGAGAAGATGGGCGGCAGCTCAGTGGGAAAAAAAAACGAGAAAAATTATGTGCACGATCTTTTTTAACAAACGTTTCATCAAGACAAAAATGGCTGCAAGCTATACGGTCTTTACAAATTGTTCTATGCGGGAAAGACAAATCCAACCTGAGGAGCTAGAAGATGGTTATATTTCACACGCGAAATGAACTTACAGATAGGCTTGTCATGAGTCCTATTAAGGTAGTAGTCCGTCAATGTCCCGACGATCACCAGAATGAGAAGTACGTAGCCTAGTCCACTGAAAGGTTTAATATAAAAGTATTCTTAAAAAGTGTATGTAATTATACTACAGAGAGACTTTTAGAAACTTCTACAACTTGTATGTACGCTTCTCATGTGTAACATATCTGTATATGGATATATAGATATTTTTATTCATTTATATATATATATATATATATATCGAGGAAGTTGTTATGGTCGAGAGTACCAGCCTTGCTATCGTCCTCAACCTCCAATAACATAGATGAACAGCAGCATCAAGCATAATGTTTTGAACTGACTTCCTAGATTTCGTTGTAAAGACTAATCTAGCTTTGCAGTTCCCCCCAACAAGCTGAAAGTAGCTCCGAAAACAAATAATGCGCATTTATTGAACCAAACGTAAGTATTTGTCAAAAACCTTTTTGCTACCGACCAGTTTATTCAGACCAGTTGTCTCCTCATAGATCAGCATAAGAAAAACTCAAGTGCCTTAAAACCTACTAATCTCGGTAACTTTAATGGTTTCTCCAGCTCATAACGTCTCCAGTGATAGCTATAAGGTAGTACTGAAAAGACATTTGTACAAAAGAAACGTCTGCAATATATAATAAGCAATAATAAAAAAAAGCAACAAAATAAGCAAGCAGAGATTTCATGACACCGCTAAAGATCGTCGCCAACATAACGAACCAAAGCAGCGCTGCATTGATCTGCAAAACTAGAAGACACTTGTCTGAAATTACTTCTTCTTTTTTATAATCGATAGTAGATGCGGCCGCTAGCTAGGTGTTACGTTAGCCGACACAGGAGATTAGGAAGAAGCGTGTGATATTGACAGACATCAACTTGTCGAAGTTAGTGAGGCATAACAAGTTAGCGGGAATCTAGGTTTTTGTGCGTCCCGCAAAAGTCCTTGAGAATATCAAGTAAACATGGAGTGGAGACGGAACCTATCGCAACAGGTTCGGGAGAGCCAAAACAATCGTAGAAGTCTTACGTCAATTCAAGTCGAGGGCTAAGCTGAACTCATTCACGCTGCTTACATCCAACACGTACAAATACGTTTATTCGAACAAACTACTGTTATAGTAAACGGTTTAAAACATGGAGTTAGGTCTTGAATAGCTGTTGTCCGAAATGAAAGCCGACGTTAATGTCGATGATTCGTTTGAACGCAGACTAAAGCAATATTTTCTTTGAATGTGAGCAGTAGGCCAAGGACTCGAAACGATCGAGGCAATCCAGTTTAACAAAAGAAAGTCCTAATACTGAAAGGTTGTACACGTTCTGGTCTGTAACGTCTCGAAATGCAATTATCCGATTACCATGGGCTCATCGGGACTGTTGCGTCGACATATCGTTTACCTTTTTTACCCGTTATGGGTCTATTAACTGCTGCGATGGGTGGATAACTGGCTAGGGACTTCTGTTAGTTAAACAGGCCTTGCTATTTCGTCAAGACGCCCTGCAGTTACTTGTTCTATCCTGGTTGTCTACCGGATAGCAGTCTACCGGACTGAGCGTCAAGAGGATAGGTGAGTCGAGTTAGAGAAAACCAGGATGCTAGTCTACTAGTAGATGCCATTACCTGATATATACTTACAAAACATATAGTTGGAATGGTGTCGGAGCGTTTCGGTGCTTGATGCGACAATTGCCAATTTCAAACTCTGTCCCGTAGACTTTGTTGACCACTGCAAGTACAGTATGGCAGGGACGATAACAGCAATATATCTCTATCCTTCGTAATAAAATCTGTTTATCTTAACTCATTACAATAAGCATGTAGAATAGGCTTCATTGGAACGTTGTGAAGTACGCGCACTCGTCTATGCCCTAACTATTAAGGTAATGGCTAACATAGAAATAGGAAGCATTCTAGATACTATTTAGCGAGTGCCACCGAAATCCGCAACTGAGTCATGACAACATGGTACATTTGTCGAGGATGTAGTTTAGATCCTTGGTGCTGCATCTATTCGGTGTACATAGACCGATTTTGATTCCAGTAGGCACATCCAGGATGTGCTTTGGCCAGGTTTCCATGTTTAAAACGGTTTCCTGCTCAAATAATATAGAAAACAGATGGAATTTATATATGTTTATCTATCATGTCATGGATAAAAATGCATAACATTATTGAACATTTCTATTTATTCGGTTTACGTGTTTTTGCCTTACTTTCGTTGTATCATATGTTGATCTGCATATGCGTGGGTACAAACTAAAATCTTCGTAACTACATTCCAAGTTTTTGCTACTGAAGACGCAATCTTCGGTAGCAAGTAATGGATCATTAAAACTGCCGTAACGATATTCTATCTGGCTGACATGACTGAGTTACTCAATACTAAAAAATTACGTATTTTTGTGAGGCGGATAGATTCATACGTGCTAAGATGAAGCTGTGCTTAGGTGTATACAATTTTTATTTGAGAAAATAATGATCAGTGAATTAATCATACTTGGATATTCAGGCACTTCATTTGTGCGACGCCGACCAACCGACCGTGTTGCACAACGAGTCTGCTATGGACTAATTTATAGAAGATCCTATTCAATGGATTAATTATTGAAGAACAGAAGATAAAATGAGAGTAGCCGCTGAAAAAGATTAATTATTATCTTTCTATATATTTAATAGCTAATAGGATGAATTATGTGCTCAAAATGAACAAGTTCGGTCGTCATTAACAACAACCTTAAAACAACACAACCTTACCTTAAAAAACGGATCATTTTTCACTTGCTCTTTGAGGATATTGTACATCTTCTCATTGGGATTGATGTACAAGGTGCAGTACTGCCCTCTCAGGGTCACGAGACCGTCAGGATCTACCCGCTTTGCCTCGAGGCATTGATCGTACGAACCAAACGAGCCCTGCGCACCGAGAAAAAAGTTTTGTGGCAGGCCTCCGTGTGCAGTGGCAACTGTCAAAGGAAGACAACGTAGACATCGATACTTGAGTCCGTTTGTCTGCTATTGTGGTACGCTTAGATACGGACGGCTGGCGATTTTATTTGCATTATTCTAACGAAGGTACATGCTGGAGCGCTCTGCTGCTATACGCAGTAGTCCATGACTTTGTCCGATTTTGACTAACTCGCTATTGATAGCACTACTATAATTCTATATCGACCCCTTCAGTTGCTGTGATTATAGCATGTTTTTTTTTTTTACTTACAATAACTCCAGTTTACTGCTGAGTGAAACTAACTGCTGGAACAAGAACAGGTCCGGCAATAATTAGTATAATAACACTGGCACACACTAATGCATGAATGTATGAATCATATTAATGGAACACGACCTATTCACTCCTTTTCCCAGAACATGCGTTTCCTTCTTATATTATAGATAGCGAAGTGCGCTTTTGTTCTCCGAGTTTTGATGTACGCACATATCCTTTTATAGATTCTTTCCAGTGTTCTTAACTATGTTAGGTTATGCATATGCACGCAGACACATATAGTATGTATATGATCTACCTATTTATTTCTTTAACCTTAATTTGATATATCTATTCCTCTAAAAACCTCAATAGTTCGAGGCGAGTGTTCGCTTATTCTTCCCGAACCTGAAAACCTGCTGGCACATAGAATGCGTAGAGATCTTTGTTCTCTGCATAGGGAACTTCTATGGAAGTAGTTGGCCCGCATCTTCAGATAACCTAAACAGCGGCCGGCCAGGTAACTTTCGGAAACATCGAGAGAAATACGTTATTGAATGTTTTATATATATGTTAATTTTGTTTATTCGTTAACAGTTGTCCACTCTGAACACACTCCAATTTATACTAACACATTTACTTTGTCAATATTACCATTACTACTGCACGTTTATCAGGCATCGATAGTTATTCGGTGTCCTTTTTGGCTGCAGGCTAGATCGACGCGCAGGGCCATACCCTATTGCAATTAAGTTGTTATCCTAAAAGGCAATATTTGTGAGTGACATATCCGCGTCGTATACGTAACTAAACAGAACTTTGTGCTGGGATGCAGTACACAAAAGTGGCGTAGTCAATTAAAAACTACGAGAAGGCCAAGGCCCAGAAAACGGTGGCATCATAGACGAATTATTTTGAGCCCAACGTATTCCTCTGCGTGGTAACTATCTTTCTGCGCCACCTCAGTGATGAATAGGTGTGTGCATATGTAATCCTGCATCCATTAGGATTCGCTTGAGAACAGAAAAATATGTTACTTTTCAGTAATAGTAATAACAGATGCTTGTTAATACCAGTTATTATGACCAAGTGACTTCTGTGCGCTGTCTATAATTTGGCTTACTGATACATTGCAATAAGGGGATGTAAACATCAGCGGGGTCAACTTTTATTACTTATTCGAGACATGGTAGAAGATTATATTGTTGATAGTAATTTATTTTGGAAAGTTAATTAGGACGTTGTGTTTTATAAATAATTATATGCAAAAAAAAATTTCTGGTGCATATTTTCTGGAGCTTTCCAGCGCTTTGTGAGGATTTACTTAGGCGATAAAAATTACCCTTATGTATTGAAATCTAAAAATGAGTTGTGATTGATGTATAATACTATAGAAGAACACACTTGTTCGCTGATATATAATTATTGATTAACAATTGAATATAATGTGCGCCGATAAAAATTTGAAATAATCTTCAAATAACAGGTTATTTTGGCATGTAAACCAAAAATTAGAAAGACAAACTAGGGATCGATGTTCAAAAGCATTTTTTTTACGCAGGATCTTGCACTAACAATATAATGCAGTAACGCCACCGCTGTGACGCTTAGCGCTTCAGCGTAGGCGGGGCGGACGTTACGCGAAGGGGAGACAGGGATAAATATTTCGCGTTGATATTTATCAAACAAACAAACAGCTTTTAGTACTAATTGAAACTTTAAAACTCTACAAACTGCATAAACCGCCATCTTTATTTTGAAATTTCGACGCTTGCCGACTCTTTGAGCAGAGTTAACGTTTGCAACAAAAAAAGACCAGAGTTATATCTATCTGTAATTCTATTTTGTGTGGCCGAGTTAGCACCTGTAAGTCCCTCCACAAACAAGGGCCAAGTAAATTGAATATGGAAACAATCTTGCTCGTTAAAATCTCTAACACGAACGTCTTTGTTAAATCATTTTGATAACAAGATCGTTCTGATGAAAATTGTCCTTCACGATACAGATGGAAAGAAGGCGGCGCGGTATGATTGACCTTCAGTAGTACCAGAAATGGTACCCTCCCTTACAATTCCAACAATGAGTCATTATTGAGTTTTTTTTTCAGGAGCGGAAGAACCGCAATAAAATGAAGGGAACAAATACATCATACCTCCTGAAGCTTCGTAAACCTTCTCTACCACTAAATATACGACACCTACAATTTCGAGCGCTTTAACAGAAACGCTGAACCAAAATCGAACAGATTTGTTACCATCTTCTCGTTGGAGCTGTTTTCAAAGCGACCGTTGGTAGCGCTTGAACGATCTGTCTTCGCGAAGCATTGTACTGAAGCAGACGCTACTATAAACAGTGTTATATGTTTGCTTGGCAAATAGACTGGCTATTATGATGATTCAAACTGGCCACTCCCGAAAAATTGCGGTAATTAGCCAAGGGTGAACGCTCCGTAAAAGTTCTATTTAAAGGCTATTTGTTGCTCAAATGGCCTTCAAACTCAGTGGCTTTAGGTAGGTAACGTTAAATGGATAATACGGCTAAGGCATAAAAGTTCGCCAGCGTTTATCTGTTATTACAAATCCTTTCGACCAACCTTAAATGAACATCTCAAAGTTGAAAGGTATCGAGAAGGTAGCCGTATCTGCCGAAGGGTTTGTCCGTATCTGTCAGGTGTAACGAAATTTACTTGACATGTATATATTGTGTACTAGTTCGGACAGACGTAGGCATACAATGAAAAATTACTGAACAGCAAGTTTTCCCATAAATTTTTTTGAAGTGTAGACATATAGTGCCATATTCCACTATAGGTTTATGTTTATCTCGCACTTTTTCCTTGAAATCTCAACTTCAATTTTAAGTTCGGTTTAAAGCAGATTCATTGTACGAGGGTTAACTTGAACTTAAACCTGCAACTTTATTCAATCGGGTACAATTTTTTGATATGTAATCAATTTTACTTCGTCTTAGTCAATCATTTTGTGTGCATCCAATTTTTTTACCATTGCTAAGTACTGGTTTTAAATAGCGTACGCTTTTACAGCAGCGTTCGTCGTCTGGCCCAAACCCTCTCAGGCCCATTGAATGAACCTATATATTTGATACTTACTTGGTACTTCGGTACAATACTGGTACCTTTTTTTTTTTGCAATTTAGTTCCAGCCAATCCGTGTTACGATTATCTAGATCAGAACGCTATATTAATTTATGTTATATGCAGTTTCAGCTAATTAAGTTGTGCGCTATCCTTAGCTATTGCCGCTCGTTACATGTCTGCACATTTATCGATGTATCTATCGCCAGATTTGACCGATAGGAAGTGTTTCACTTACTCATAAAGGCCCATTTCTCCTGCGTTTGTACACCACGAAGCAAAGCTGCCAGACCGCTCGTGCAGTCGTTGGATATCTGGGGGTCCGCAAATAGCGCACTAACAATTGGGTATGCTCGACGCTGAACCTCTTTGAGAAGCGGCTGTAGATCTTCAATGAAGTCTCTTGTTGTGCTCTGTATCTCGGTAGTTACTTCAGTATGATTTTCCAATTCGTCCCTGTTCTCGATAATCGCGTATTCATCCTGTTCCGCGTGAATCGCACGAAACACTATTAATGTCAGTGTTAGAAATAAAACATACCAGCGCACTAATCTCATCTTACGCTTCAACCTCTCGTCACACTAATCAGCTCCTTGAACAGCTTGGTGATCCTCTAGTACAGCATATGATAGATGATGATTTGTTTCAGCTTGCTGATGTGCGCCAGCAATTTCGAATTAACCGTCCTTAGTCAGGGTTTCTACTTCATCAAGTGAAGCTATTACGAAACCGGTACGAAACGAAGATTCTCAACCTCGCGTTTATCCGTTTTGGAGGGCTGAAGTAACCAAAGAAGTACAAACTCGTTCTGATCGAATGCACTAAACGAGCTCGATGTCACTATGTCACCCTTTGAGAAGGTTACGTGCGATTTTATCTAAAACTCTAAGTCGATTGGCCTGGTAATTTTTGTTGAGTACGTCTGGCTGGAAAGGAGGTTTCGGTGTCTCGACTCTCTCAGCTCCAATTATCGTCACGGTGACTCTTTACTACGATATCTGGACGTCAGAATTATTTCATATCTTTCGATCGCGGCTCGAAAAAGGTCACTGTACCAGCCCTGAATACGCACCGCCAGAAAACCTTGGTCAATACCTGACATAGCCATTTGTCGTATCCGATGAAAGTAAAGGACGGATGCAAATTTTCTGCAAGTAGAAAGCTGTTCAGTAAGTAGAAGCAAAACTACAGGATCAGTTCCGTGGCAAAGAAAAAAAAAACCCGCAACGTAATGACGATGCTGGTTTTGCAACTCGTTACCATTTGTATTTATAGACGCAAGCTTTTATTGGGGTCCTTTTACGAAATCGACGGATAATAAGACTGGGTCGTCATTGTAAGATAAGAAAGCCGAAGATCAATACGAAGAAAACATTGTTTCACGAACCGCGCACAATAGACATACACGTTTTAAGTAGTTTGTACCAGATGCGTTTTTCAATAATAACAATAGTAATAACGATCGAAGTGTGGTGTCCAGAATTCCATTGTGTAGAATGATGAAGATTCGGCGGACAGAACCCGCTTTTCGATGAAGTACAAAGCCTTTTTCTTCTAAAATATCGTGATGTGTTTCGCCTCTACAGTTAGTTGTTCGGAACCATGCAGCGGGTGGAAAACTAGATAACTTTTACGCCTCTAACCTTAGATAACTTTAAGACAGAGTATCGATATTCTGCTATATGCTGAATGGGTGTTTGTTGATTGTTTACACATTGAAGCTAGCGCTTAGGGAGTTTCTCAATAGCTGTATACTTGTAACTTGCACTACCATACCTGATCTCGTTATCGATAGCTTGTCTGAGGGTTAGCTGAGTGCTATTCATTGCACTCCGTTAGGTATGGAAGTAACTGAAATCATGCGAGCATAACTTTAGAGAATATAGGGACTAAACCCGTCATTTGATCCATTCCGTCTTTGCTGAAACCGTGATTGAAGATCGTGCATTGTCATCGAATAACTGTGTGTCGTGTTCCGTCGAGTACAGCGCCATACATCCATTAATTCGAGATATTTAGCTGCGTTGGCCGCTCGCTTTCCGACAATATTTCGTAATGCCGTTCATGTCCACTGCCAGTAAAAGCAGCTTACATCCGAATCTATTCAGTATTATCGCCGACATCTCTAAGCTAATCGTTCTTCGGTAGGCGCTTCGGACTGGCCCGTTTCCAGTCTACGGTGACGGATGTGCCCCAGACGCTTTCTTCCAGCAGTTGGACAAATCATACCGCACACGCGTCTCCATTTGTTCTCTCTAACAAAACGCGCTTATTGTTGCTTTTCTTCGATACCTTCGCCACAAATTCGGCACGCGTCATTTGACGATTCTATATTTCCTACAGGGGGCGCCTAGGGTTCCGCAATTACAGCGACGGACTTTTCCGAGTAGTCACCTATTATCCGTTATTCCTAGTCTCTCAGTTTCGATTCTTAAAATGGCTGCACTGCCAATGATTCATTGCTTTGCAGAGTGCTTTCTTATCCAGTGTTTTTATAGATCTTCGATGGAGTCTGCCAGCGCTTTCGCTTTCGAGAAGCAAAACTCACTCCTCTTGTATCTTGAAAAGACAATAGAATATATAAACTCGCCATTTGTCGATATTACTCCATCAGATTATGCTTGTAGTCACTGAAAAACGTAATTATCTATCCGATTCTGTCTGCTAATGATGCGTAGTTACCCAGATTTTAAGCCCCGCTAAATAGCTTTAGATAGGTTGATGTACATTGTATGTATAGCGCAGTGTACTTCGTTTACGGTTCGAACGATACTGGATCAGCAATAAAACATACTATTACAAACTAGGCTTACTTTACTTATTACAAACTCGTTTCTAAACTGGTTCCGAAGTATATTGTTGTAAAAAGAAATACAGTTAAATGCACAGCTCAATGAATTATTAAGCGGAAAAGCTCACGGCTCAAATGGTGTACATGCAATATATACATATAGTAGAGCTTCGTATCTCCTTATGTATACGCTTTTAAATTCGAAATTGCGCTAACAAAGATGTGGCATGGATAGAAGCGATGGCCAGTTTTCCAAATTCGAAATTAATGTTAACTGTAAATGTATAATGGCATTTTGTCTTACTGCCTACGAGTGTAGTTTTCGAAAAAAAAAAACATAGGTTAGGTCGCTGCACTTGGATTTATGTACGTGCACACCAGATCAGCAAGTACCTAATTTAATTGAACGTTCGAAATGTCTATACCCGTAGTTATGATCTCTCAGATACTCGAAGACCGCGCCGCGATAGATCGTAGGCTGCATCGAACTGTTTTAAAGCTTCTCAGTCACTCTATTGTAGTTGGCTTGAGGCCACCGCATGGCTTCTGACAGCGACCATACGCAGAATGAGATCAATTGATTATTTCTGGAGAAATCCATCGAATTCCACAGATAATTAACTCGCTGTCCATAATGCCACGTGTCTGTCTTTAGTGTTAAATCTAAGTGTGACGAAATAAATTTCATTCCAAATTCTGCCGTAAATCCCCGGGACGAACAACTACATAGCCCGGATGTAAGCGCAATAATCCGACGTTTCCAGCGACGTTCGGTGACAACAGCAAAAGCTCCAGTCGCAGCAGCAGCGCCAACGGTAGCAGCTGGAGCGGCGGCAAACGAGAAAAATATTATTGAACCAGGGGGCATAATTATTGTTGAGTGGTTACGTCATCGGTTTTCTGTGCGATCGTTTATTCTTTGCTGCTTTTTTCGTCTGACCGATCGTCGTTCCGAAGAAACTGGCCGGGAAGGCGAGAAAAGATAGATGAAGAAGAGTTTCTGCTTATAGTGCTTGTGTGTATAGGTTTGCTAACAATTAATGATTATGGCGCTGTACAGCGGAAGGCTGAGTGGCAGGACATTGATCGACTGAATTCGCCGTTCCTGGCTGTCTAATAACTGTCTAGGTTTGGCGGAACATCAATCGGCAACTGTTATTACGTCACTGCATATATAATCGAGTATGATCTTTTTAACGCTATATGAAAGTCGCTTCAAATCGATCTGAAATACAAATGTAATCATTTTCTTTATTATATCTAAGATACACGCTTAAATAGCAAAGGTCGGGCGGAAATCGATCCGGAATTTACCGACCGAGTAGACCGATTCATAGATCTTTCGAAATTTAGCGCCCAACGGGTGGGATTATAATTCAAATAATGTGACAGTGTTAGCGGCAAATTCAAAAGTAGTTAAACGGCTCCATTTAATCAACGAAGCACCGAGGCAAACTAGGGAACGTTTTTACATACGGCAGAACTTGCTGTCTTACCTCGGGCTATTTCCGCCCATATAATATAAAATCACAGACACAAATCATTAGTGACAGCCATTCCTATTTTATTTGCATATTCATTAGAACTCATCGATTATTCTAACCATAGTAGTTATTTACATCTAAAATCTATATGTGATAAGTATGCTTGCAATGTGTCGGAACTTCTGTGAGACGCTGGAGGGACGAGTGCCTTTTTTTGTTAATTAGGAACGTATTTCTTGTACACTTGTGCATTATTACGATCGAATAATTTCCAACGTAGGAAATTCGCTAAAAAAAAAATCTCGCTACGTTACGTCACTTAAAAGTATCGCCAGGGTAAGCCCAATTTACATCAGTCTGTTTAAACTTCTCGGAGGTGTGCCAGAAGCTGCCATCAAGCACAATACATAAAACGAAGGTATATAGATAAGTTAGATGCGTATTACGTCCGTTTCCGTTAGCATACAAGCATCTAAATTGTAAACGAATTAGACACTAGAAATGACTCACAAATTTTGGCCAAAATTTAACCCGAATACATTTTCAAAAACGATTTAGAGCCCTAATGATTATCTGCAGCGGTCAGAACCGCCAGTCAATGACGGATCCCAGATTTTTGCGCTTGCCTATCTCACGACAGCCATAACAGGCTATTTACCTCGTGGCATAACATTCGACAGGTAATGATCATCCCATAGAATGCAACCAAATAGACTATAAGGCCCAAGGAGCATTAGGTCAAGTACTAGGCTCTTAATGCTATGACGACACATACGGCCGCGGCTACACTTAGGAGACGTGCCGAAAGCAAAAATGACGACATCAGTTTCTTAGATAACCTGTAACTTTTCGCTTTCTTGCCTATTGGCCTGCGTTGTCCTAGCTGAAATCCATTCCATTCCACGAAGATCCAAAAAAGAGGAACACTGTACAACCTCTGTCTTCTATCTTCTCGCTGTCCTAGTAGCAGACATGCACGTTTTCATTTAGTTTACATTGTGATTCATGTTCATGGCTAACTGTAACCTGAAATATCAAGTTGAACATGTTTCCTTAGAAGTAATAGTTCGTCTGAACTGATCCGAAAGTTTTTGAATCGAACAATTCAGTAAAACCCAATAAGACGAAAGGATGACGTCAATTTTATTTATGTGTATAAAGTATGTAAGCGGCTGTGATTAGCTGAAGCTTGTTGAAAAGGGGCACGTTTGAAATCTAACGTGTCCTATGGAGCTGAAAAAACTACATGAACCTACCTCGTTGTGACAATTTTTCCTGTTCGGTAAATTCACATAAATCATTTTTAATTCAAAAGTCGTTTGTTTCCAAGCAACAAACTCCGAAAGCCTACCATATCAATACATCAACGTAACGTATAATATAGGTAAGCCTATTTTGCTTATAGAATACGCTAATCTTATCGAGGAATAGCTGAGTAAAAATTGATAACACTTTCGTTCGTGCTTGACATAATTCAATCTTCTACAGCAGTAATTTTACACTTTTTGGTCAATTATTGTCTCATGTGATCATTTTTCGTAGGGCAATATCATTTATGTAAAAAAAAATCACCATCAGTAATACCAATAGGTCGT